TACCACTTTCACAGCATTCATCATTTTTGTACCTCTTATTATTTCTTCGTTCCTTAGCCTGTTCCTCGTCAAAGCTATGGCATCCTTTCTATGTAGCTCACTGCTATTTTCTTAATGAAAAGTCCATCTTTCCGGCAAAAGTCTTGGCTCCAGACACTGAAAACCTTAACAGAATCCAAAAAAGACGAAAGCTTTTAAGAAGCGAACTGTTTTAGCGAGGCATGGTTAGGAAAAAAACATAAAACAGAGATGGAACGGTTTTGCCAGCAGTCGATGCTTTTCGTTACCATTACTGATAACACATCAAGACTGAATAAATGAAAAACTCAAATCTATGCTTTGGCACAATAGCAAAGATTAGTAACTTAATCTTCAATGACCATTGTGAGTCACTCAGTCGTGAAATCACATTTTTCATAACAGATTAAAGATTATCGGTGATGGTAACGAAACGCGTCAACTGCTAAATAAATCATTTCCGTTTTACGTTTGAGTTTCTTAACCATGCATTAAGAAAGCAGTGCACTGATGGACCTAGAATCAAAAATTCTTTTAGTAACGCAAAATCCATCATGGCTTTCAACGGCATTTTAACCTAAAGATTTTACAATGTACGGTATTTCGATTAACATCGCACAGTCCCTGACTATTTTTTATACACAAAACTATTCGTTTAGTCGAAATGTTGCATTTTTTAACATGCTTAACGTAAACTGTATCTCGAAAGCAACCGAGTTGTAGAAGCCGTTTAAAACCATGGACCTCATTAATAAATGAACGATGAAGAAACTTCCTTTACCCTCAAGAAGGCCTGTGAGACAAGTCGAAACATAGGTACTGGTCTATCACCTGATTTAGACGTTTGTAACTACGCCGGTCTCGTACTATTTTTCAGTGTCGATAAAAACCGTGCCTTCATAAAATGTCTCTTCTCGTTTACAAGAACATGAGCGATTCATTAGTAACTGCTGCAAGGCGAGTACCTGGATCGAAAAATTCCCTTTTCACTTGACATTTAGAAACAAAATCATTGTTTCAAGCTAACATTAGCTTCGAGAGCAGCCTTCAATAGCTTATGCACTTCGGATATACCACTGTTTATTTCGCAGAACGAACAGTGAATGGTAAGACTCATCCTGGTTTGCATATCTGCTGTAACTCGTACTCAGATGAGCTTCATTGCTTGCAATTGTACATACAGAATTGTGAAAGAAACGGTCAAAGACGATTTTACGGCCAAGTAGATACAATCAGTATTTTTCTTACTTGAGAATCACTAAAAACCAGTGCAGACAGTGGCAAGAATTATCCTTTTTAATCATTCTTAACTTCGATTTATTTATCTGAAGTTTAACTCGCCTGACCTTTAACTGCTGCTCGCTAATAACGAATCCCCTTACCTGCCTGGTCCAACTTGTTTCCTTTACTACTACCAGGAAGTGAGGTTCCACGTATGTACTTTTTTAAACTTTTCAACTTCGAACTTAAACGTTCCGCGTTCAAGGCAGCTAGGCTGGTGTCGCTTAGTAACATCGCTGCAGTATCTAAATTTTCGAATTCTCGAGAAAAACCACTCAGTGTGATCCGTAGGTAAATGAAGTACAACTAAACCAAGCAGAAAAGTACATGTCTAAGCATCTCAGGTAGCATTAACGCATGTCGGCAGGCAGGACGTCAAACTAAACACAGAGCAGGCGAAACGAAGTTGTAATGTGAGAGCAAAACCGGTCTGTTGAGACGAAGGAGCTGAGCCGCAGTACTAAGCTGTCACTGAGATAATGAGTGCTGAATATTGACCGAAAGAGTGCGTCCCGGATACGAGCGGAAGATATTTGGTTTCTTCGAATACAGGCGTGAACAAACTCGACCAAGTCCAGAGCACAGGCATAGAGGTATACGCTCTATAATGATCCGTTCTCCTTCTTCAGGT